GAGAAGGGCAGGCAACTGGAAATTGCGGATTTACAAAGTCAGCCTACCTCCCCCCCAAACCACTGCCAAACCACCACCAATCCAAACTTCTCTCCCAAAAAAAAAAAGAAACGAACCTAATTAATAAAAAAGTGAGCTGCTGACGAAGGTCTTGCGAGGTCTTGAAGATTTTTGAGCGGTTCGAAGGTTGTTGTGAAGTGAATTGTTGAATTGAAGAACCCAACTCAGTGGGATGTCTCTCTGCGGTCAACTCCTACTGCTTTTGGTTATACTATATACATATATCCCTTACATAGATATCACATATATATATATATATTCACCCAATCCCTCTACCATCTACCATCTCCATTTGTTTGCCCTGCCACCTCTTCAACTCCTTTAATGAAGTGGATAAGCAAACTGAGCCCCGAGTATCCCACAGAGTCTCTGTATCTGAATGTATCTGTATCTGTATATCTGTATATCTGTATATCTCTTGGATGTATATCTTATGGATGTATATCTTATGGATATCCCCTGGCGGATGTGTCTGTGTACAGTTATAATTAAGTGATACACATAAACGGGCGCCCAGGTCTCAGTTTCTGTTTAATGATTGTTTTCAATTAGTCCCTTCGTTTTCTTCGCCTTCTGATACCCCCTCTTTTCTTTCTTTTTCCCTTCTAAAGCCAAAGGTGTTTTATATTTTTGGATATATCTTAACTATTATCGGAGATCGTATTACCTTAAAGATTGAGTGAGAAAATCATAGTTTTTTTTAGTTAGAAAACAAATCATTTTGTTGTTTGATTTTTCAGTTGATGGATTGGTTGTTGGATTTTATACAATTTGTTGGGAATTTGATTTAATTTTTGAATTTATGCAAGCATTTTCTAAGTAATTTGTTAAAAATTTGCTTAAGTTTATATTTTTTATATTACAAAAAACAATAAAAGTATTTTTTAAATTTTAAGCTGTCAAGATTTAAAGTTATTTTAAGTGATTTTTAACTTAAGAAATAGAAAATACTTAACCTTATAAACAAAAATTCTAATAAAAATTTTAAAAAATCATTAAAAAAAAAGCAGACCAAAACCCAAGGTATCTGCAAGTTGTAACCCTTATTTACCCAGATCTTGTCAAGATCTTCTTTCTTTCATGGCAAACAAATCTGAAGAACAGCGAAAAAGCGAGCCAGTCACTCAGCGAGACACTCACTCGAGTCGACTCTGACTCATTCAACGCACTGAAACACTGAAACAAAAGCGGGGGCGTTGGAAAGGTTGGAAAGGCAAGAAAAAACAGAACCAGAAAACGTTTAACTCAATCCGGTATGGAGGGCCCTTTATGTGTTTTACGCTTGTTTTTATTAATTTCCATCATACATCTTCGACTGTCAGCAAAAGCATCTTCGACAGCTATGATTAGGCCTTCAACTTCACCTTCACCTTCAACTCTTTACCATAGTCAATGGCCATTCCGGTAACAAGCGGTCAATAGCAAAATGTTAACTTCAAGAAAATAAATCCATTGATTTGATTTCAATTAGGCTTATTGATAATACTGAGCACTTGAGATGAAGCAGAAGAGTGAGTTTAAACTTGAAGTTGATTTGTCTTAATGAGAACCATAAGTTCCTCTCTTGCAGACTTCATAAACCAAAATATATCTACAAAAATATATAACCCAAGCAAATTTCGAACCTAAAATGGACACTTTTGGCTGTCAGTTATCATTTTTGGGACTCAGTTTGGTTTCCATTTCCCTCGACACAAAGTCCAGACCCAGATCTGCCAAAGACAACTGGCGCGAATGACGACGGCCACAGTGCAGTCAATTGACCGCTAACTGTTGCAGGACGACTCCATGTCCTTCGAATTTGTGGCAGCCACAACGTGTGGCAGACAGCTTAAGACTCTGCCTGACATCCTGTCCACATACATCCTGCACTCAGGGAAAATGTTTTTAAGATGTTTTCTCTTTTAATTTACAAATTTTTTATAAAAATATTTTTAAAAATTCAAAATTAAAGTTATTTAAAAGAAGATTTAAGACAAAATAAGAATCTAAACTTATAAAATTTAAAAACTTTTTTTTTCATGGTGCAGGATAATGTTTGAGGCAGCCAAAAAGTGGGAGTCAGGCGGGATGGGTGGGTCAGGCTGAAGGCCGTGTCGTTGACAGTCGTCATGCGCAGCTACTTAGACGGACATAAAATTATGATTACAGCAAATGCCACATGCTCCCCATATGCCATTCCCCCTCTTTTGATATAGAAAGCCATAGAAAACCACCATATATAGAGGGGGCGGAAAAATCCGAGGCAATTCATTACAATAAGCTCACGAATGTGCCATAAAAAAAAAGGAAGGAAAAAAAAGTGCACTCGAACCATGAAATTGGCAATTCCAATCCCCGGTTTTAGTTGTAAAAACTTTCATGATCCCCACATTAATAGAATATGCCATGTACTCTCGGCTCATTCGGCCCCAAGGATAATCTCTCATCTTTTGGCAAGGCCATTATTATGGATGCTATCCACCACCGCAGGTCCACTGCTCAAGGAGCAGGTCCACCTAAGGGTCCTTTGTTCGTTTAACTATTTAGTTTTAGTACTGGAAAGGAGGCTTAGTATGAGTATTAAAGGTGCTATATTAAATGTTGCTATTTTGGGAATGATTTATAATATTACTAAGTATTAAGTTGAACTTATTAATAAGTTAAGTTTAGCTTAGAAAATCAAGACTATTAGTTACCTAATAGAACCTATGAAACCCCTCTTCCAAGAGTGGGTAACCCACCAAACCTAAATCTAATTCCTATTCTTCAGAACAAACCCATCTTCTTACTTCTTACTACCCATATCTTACTTACACCTAGCATAATTAACCCCCCGAAAAATGAAGACTCTCTTATTTTAGAACCCTAAAACCCCCCCTTTTCTTTTGGCTGTAATTTAGTGTAAACAAACCACTTGACTATCTCCCACCGCCAGCAGCAGCAGCAGCAGAGGCTGCCTCACTTTTTAAGCCTCTGGAAAAGCATTGTTTGTGCCCCATTCAGAGGAATATCCGATGCTCGAGGAGCAGCTACAGAAGCTCCGCAATCATTAGCTGTAACATTAGCGTCTGTCTTGCGGTGGAAACTTTCGGCTACCTGAAACGCTCTTCCATCCCTCCCCCTTCTTTTTATGGGGGGGTTGGGGTTGGTTGAAATCCACCAAAATGTGCAAGAAGTACAAGTTCTGCAGAAAAGCTGAGGGAGAACGATGACGAGAACGAGGACGAGGGAATCCAATGGCAATGGTTAAACCTATAAAACCACGTAATCTCCAAGCGAGTTCTTTAATTATGCTGCACACAGAGCCACTGGTGCTGCTGCTTCTGCTGCTGGAACTGGAGCATCAGGTGGCAGGTGGGAGAAAACTGGATGAAGGTGGCAAAGGCAAAGGGGGCGGCAAGAGGCAGGAGTGGCAGGACACAGGGACAAACAGTCCTGAGAAGGAGGAGAAATCCAGAGGAGCAAAGCAAACAAAATGCGAGGCGAAAGCCGCTTACAAAACCGCAAAATGCTACGGACATCTTTTTGCCAGATGGGTTGGGTTGGGGGGTGGGGTGTTGGCAAAAAAGCCCGAAAGCAGAGGGAAATGGAGGCTGGGGGTCTCCGGAAAACTGAGAACAAAAAAAAAAAAAAAAAAGAATCCAATGGCCACCAAAGGCAGCCATTTTGAAGTTTGGCGCTGCGGCTTTGGTGTCTCCACATCTGCCTGGGATTACAATGGAGCCGCTGCACTTGTAGATGAGATACGAGACTGTGTGGTGGGGTAGAAAGTCCCCGGAAAAGCAGAAAAGACCGACTGAGAAAGAGACGGACGGACGAACCAACATACAGAAAGATAGATAGATAGAAAGACAGGCAGACAGACACAGAGACTCTGACAGAGCGATAAACAAACAAACTGGCGATCCGGCGAACACGGTTGCCAATGCGAAACCATTTTGCGAATTTAATTGCCGTTAACATGAGTCGAGCTTCATTTTACTTTGCATTTCCGGAACACGGAGAGAAATATATTCCAAGAACAAAGAACTTAAAAAGTGAATAGGAGAAGTAGTTTCATTGAAGGATTCTCAAGGTCTTGAAAGTCACCATTAAAAACTGCCTAAAAGTAGGCAGTAATAAATTTTCAAGGCTTTCTAATCACAAATTTTTCAGTTTTTAGGCATCTTTTTCCCTCTAGACTTTCTTTCTCTTGCTAATTTCCCTACTTTTGAACTTATTTTTCAGTGCATTCAGTTGCTTTCTATCTGAACGGACACTTCGTGCAACATGAGCCTCAAAGAGAGTGCGCCCTGTAGTCCAGCTGGAGATTAGAGGGCAAACGTTGACATTGTGGAGGTTCCGTTCCTTCTCCTTTGTTTTTCCCTCAATATTGTTCTGTCTTCCCAAACTCTGGCAAATAACTCCAACTCCAACTCCAACTCCAGCTGCTTCTGTCACCCCAAAAAATTCCGCTTGATGGATTTAAATCGGGTTTCGATGACAGCACCGAAAACAGCACACAAGGGGAAATAATCTTCCCCAAGAGGGGGGCTGGGTGGTGGTTAAATCAGATAAAGTCATCGATGAACCGGATATTCAACAATTTAAGTTACTTTTGATGGGAGAATATGTCTAATGATGGCAAAATCATTCAAATTAGTTGGGATTTGAGGTATTATGGGTAAGTCTTAAAGATATTAATGAAAATCTTAAAGAAAATTCGGAATTTTCCTTGAGATTTACGAGTCTTAAAATAACTGCTGTTAGTATTATCCTTCCATTATCATTTCTTGGCAAGAAGTTGTTTGATTTTGTTATTATCTTTAACAGGTATACAAAAAAGAGTCTGTGAATCATCAAATATCTAATTTTGTTTCAAAAATCACATTAAAACCTAAACTCTTTCCTAAGAATGTCAAGAGGTTCCACTTTGATTAGTTGTAAATTTTCCAAAATAACATTTCATTCGCACTTACCCATTTGAATCGCCTGGTGATATGGGCTTAAGCTGCTGATCTGAACGGAGGTTATCGCTGAGTATATAATCTGTAAGAAAAATAACAGAATTTTTAACAGAATGTAGAAAACCTTTGCTAGCTATGCTGCGAGCGAATAAGCTTTCTGTAGTTTGTCCCAAGCTGTAAATGCCTAACAGAAAAGTGAAATCCTTGCGAAAACTCTGTTAAAAGGAAAACTATCTCAACAGGACGAAAAGCTTTTCGCGACTTCGAAAAACATCGTCAGCATCGGCAAAGTTAAGCTAAAGCCCAAAAAGCTTGGGACTTAAAAGCTGCGCGGGATTTTTATAAAATTTCCCTGCTTAATATTTCCCTGGTTAATAATGGTTTTTCTTTGGCTTTTGAGGTTTGATTTAAGGAATTAAGGAATTATTAAAATAAACACTAATTTCGAGTGTAAAAAATCATTAAATTGCAAATTATAAAGCTAAAATATGTCAGTTAAGCCGAATTTCGTTTGATTTTCCATCCGATTTTCCCGTTTCAAAACATCTTCTTTCGCAAGGGTTTTTTTTAACCTTTCCCTAAATTCTATTCCCAACTATTTAATACCCCAAAAAAACTTAAAGCTTAAACCCTCACCCTTTTGCAGCTGACTGGTGGGGATGAACTCCTCGTGCTTCTGGTCGCCCTTCTCCTCGTACTTCAGCTTGTAGTCCGAGTGCTTGCGTAGGGACATGAGTAGGGATTGCGTACGTGGCGGGATTTCGGGTGGCGCCGGTTCTGGCGGTGGTTCCTCAGACTCCCCGCCGCTGCTGCAGTTACCCACATCCAGGGAGCCCAGACCTAGCACAAACTCATCATCGCCGCTATCCTCGGGTGGCAATAATTGCTGCTGTTGCTTCACAGCGGCAATCTGTTGCTGCTGCTGCTGCTGGTGCTGAGCCATCTGAAATTGCTGCTGGTGGGTCTGGGAATCGCTACTGGAACTGGTCATTCCACTTAGACGATTCAATGTATTACGATTGCGATGACTACGATTGCTGGACGCTGCCGTCGATGATGAAGCCGAAGTTTTCAGTATATTCATATTATCCAATCCACCGCCGGCGCTCTCATCCCCAGAAAACTTCGACGAGCTGTTCAGAAAGGGATTTGTGCTGCGCGGCGTATTGGCTGTGACGCCATTCTGTACGCTACTCCCGCCACTGCTGCTGCTATTGGGGAATAGTCCCAGATTGGCATTCGATTGGTATTTCCCAGCGGAAACGGTGGACACCTTCAGCGGTGACCCGGCAGCGCACAGCGAAGAGCGTTGCTGGTGCGGCTGCGCATAGGTCACCTCGGGTGCTGTGGTCACTGTGGCCGGGCCATCGCCCAGGCCAGGCGTGTCATCCAGACGACGATCACCACCACGCTGTCTCAAATAATCCGGTTCGCAGTCAGAATTATAATGTTCCATGCCTGAAAATTGAGAAGAAAATGGAAGTTTAGCGCTTACTTAAATGGGGTTTTTCCTGGTTTCCTAAACTGATATAGTTTCCCCTGATAGTTTTCCCTGCCTACCTGCCTACCCTGCAATCCAAACATTTGACCAGAGCTCTCTGCTGAGACCAAACATTTACAATATCCACGTCACAGCATGCGAATTCTGTTTGTTTTTGGCTTTGCGTGGTTGGCAATTGCAAGGCTCAAGGGGAGAAGGCTGGCAAATCCGGGCAACTGGCTTTTCAATTTTCCTGCAAGAGTAACGGCCGGCAAAAACAATTTGCGAGGAGAAGAAGGACGGAATCGTCGCGTTCGTCCAGGCGTTATTAGGTTGTAAAAAATGAATCGTAAATTGCATTAAATATTAACAGACAATAAAACGAAACGAAACAAATGCAGGCGCGCGCGGCCCGTAAAAAGAGCGTTTTCCTTCGCTGCTCTTCGCTGCGATTTGCGTTTTATGCTTCGATTAAGTTTGCTCCCCCCCCTCCCGGGAAAATGTGCAGAAAATGTGGGCGGAGTGGGGAAAGTGGTCGTCGGACTATAATATCACAGAGGATGTTACCATTGTATCGGCCATTAGGCCAGAGCCGCGCTGCCAACTTGATTGTAATTGAATTGCACGCTGCTGACGTTCGCGGTGCTGCTACCGGGGGTATTGTCAAGTACAGTGAACACTAGCAGTTAACAGAAAGGTTAACCATACCATTGCCATATCAGAAGAAAATCTCCAACAAACTGACAGCCATAATCCTTACTTTCAGCACCATCATTTTCAAAAAATATTTGTCTTAATTTCTTAGTTCTCTTGTAGGCAACATTCACTGTGTATTCCCCATCGGTTACGTCGAGCGATTTACTGAATTCAATCAGAGAAATGTCAGGAATGCTGCCCACAGCCCCCCTTCCTTTCCCTCCTCTCTCATTCCTAAAATGTATCTCAACATCTTGGTCAGCTCCATTTCAATGGCCAAGCAATTGGAATCGATTTGTCTGCCAGGGACCTAAGCCAGTCTGGTTAGTTGGTTACTCGGTTACTGGACATCATCCTCCTCCTTGATATCCTCAACGCATCCTCGACACAGTTGCGGTCGGCAGTTGAATAATTCAATTAAATAAAATAATGAATATTTACTAGCTTGACCGACTGGTAAATCGCATTTGGTTCCTTATATCCGAGACGTAGGAAAACCCTTCAGGATGCACAGAAAGGAAAACTGACTACGTTTCTCATGGGGAAAGTGCTTGGAAATGAAAGACAACTTTTGGCGAAACGAAATGAGGGAAAAGATTTTGTTTTTGTTGTTCTAATCAAAGGATCTTTTTAAGGACTTTCGTAATAGTAAACCCTAAGTAATATCAAACTCTTTACTTCTCAAACCTTCAACTTGCTCTTAAAATATTATCAAAAAATATCAAAACTTTCTCCAAGTACTCGTATACTATACTCACTTGCCAATTGCTGACTCTGCAGCAGCAGCTGGGCTAGCAGTTGGGTATCGAAGGCCGTCGCCTGTCCAGTGTTCTGGTACTCATCCTCGCTGCTGCTACCATAGCCGTGACCCATGCCGTGACCCAGACCATGACTTAGTCCATGACCATGACCACCATGACGACCGTGACTGTGCCATTCGGCGGAACGCTGTCGTCGCAATTGTTCTCCACCGCCAATGCCTCCGCTCCCTCCACCGACTCCACCGCTTACGGATCCTCCACCTCCAAGTCCGCCGGAAGCATAGTAATATTCACTGCTGGCAGCACTGCCGCTGCCAACACGTTTACGGCCAATTGTGCCGGAATGACTGCTGGACATGATGATGGGTAGATGGGTAGATGGGTAGATGGGTAGATGGTAGATGGATAGATATTGTTCTGGTTTCGGTCTGGCTGATCTGGAAGCCCCGAGGGTTAATCGACCAATCTCCTCCGGATGTTGGTGGATTTCAATGTATAGTAGTAGTATAGTAACTACTACTATACTAGGCAGGTGCAATTACTATTTGTCCAGTGATGAACTTGTCCTTCTTGTTGTTGTTGTTGTTGTTCTTGTTGGAGTGCTCAATCGATGTTGTGGCATCGCAACTCCGGCAGCAACCGCTGGCCAACAGCCAGGCCATGTGGACCCGACGACCCGGTCGCTTTAAGTGCTTAACCGAATTAACGCTGAAACGATAAAAACGACAAAGTGTCAGGAGGAGAAGATAAAGCCATAAATGCACGAAAATGAAAATAAATAGCAGCCGGTACCGAGAGTTTTGTGTATATGTATATCCTCCTCCTCCTCCTCCTCCTTCTCCTGTTACCAACCTACCACCCCGCCCCCCTTTGGTACTTTCACTTTGACTTCTGGACGTAAAGTGAACTTAATAGCAATTGCTGGAAGCCATCCCATTCCCCCATTTTACCATTTGGCCAAATGGCAGTGATGGCCATCCTTGGATTATGTTATAAAGGGAAAGTAGCTAACAGAGAGGTATGGCATCTAGGTGAGCATAGATGGTTGGGAAATATCTATTTGTAGTTCAAAATTCTATGGAAATCACTTTTCAAAAAAGCTAAATTATCGGAAAAATCGAAGAAAAAATCGATAAATGTCGATACTTATATCGTAATTTATCGATAATTTTACATTTTACACCCTAAATAAATAAAATTAGATACCAGTAGCAAACCAAATTTATCCAAACTAGTTTTTTCTTAGCTAAGAAAAAGCCAAGTTGGCAACTCCTTTCGTTGGCCAGCCCTCTGTTTATGGCTGCTTCCTTGGTTTAGACAGACAATTTGACTTTTGATTTTGATGATTGAGCATTTGAATGCACTAAAACACAGGGGAAAAGGGCTGGGAGCACAAGTGGGTCATTACTGACAGCCTCCGCTCGATGCGGGTTAAGGCTGCCAGCAAGCCAGGAGGCAGCAAGCCAGCAGCCAGCAAGCAGCTCAATGGCCACGCAAATGTTCAAAGGGACACGGAGCCACAAAGGTTATCCTTGCAGAGGACTCAACCTTTCCCTGGCGAAAAAGCCACTGACTCAAGGATTGCGAGTGCGTGTGTGTGTCTTTGGGAATGTTGTTATCCTTTATGGGCTTGGTGGGTCTTATGCGGACACATTCGAAGGACACACAAATGTCCTGTCAAATTGGAGTTGTGGATTTTCAAAAATGATCACTACCATTCCCTGGAAAATGAAATTAAAATGCCAAAAAGGTGAGAAAATCAAATTAACTTAAGCTCTTATGAGCTTTTTTGGCATACATTTTCGAAAATTACAAACAAAAACCACACAAAAACTATGTTTAAGACTATAATATATGGATAATATTACCAAAAACTACCACTTTATATATCTACCGTATAAAAGTCGAAGAAAAACAACTGCCGGCGATAAAGAAAAGCAAGTCAAGATGTCGAGGAATACTACAATTTAACCATTTTTATTCGAAAAGCTAAAGCATTTTCCTTGCTGTTGTTCTTGTTTTTGGCTTCTTTGGCAGTAATTTTCCAGAAAACTGGCCAGACCAGGACTTGCCACACTCCACACCTCACACACCATTTCCCCCACACCCCCCCCTTGTCCATACTTTGGCTGCTGTAAAATGGTGTAACCGAGTGTTTGGCTTCTTGGGTAAACAGAACTTAATCGAATGCAACTGCATTTGCAGTTCCGAGTTCAGGTCAAGTCCTTCCCATTGCCCCTTTGCTGCTGTATGGAACTCTATGTTTTTTTTTCCTTCTTCTTCTTTTTTTTTCCAGAGCATCCCCCTTTCCCCTTCCCGCCTACACATTACGCCCCCTCCCCCCGACGCAGTGCACTTTTCTCCATCGGCAAATGCACAATTTGGCCTGCAAAATGCATATTTGTGGCATCCATTTGTATGGCTTTGTTGGTTCGTAGTCCGAACCGAAAGATAATCAAATACGCATTTCTCTTTCTCTTGCTGCCACTATATCGGTCTCACTCTAATGAACGAGACCAGAGTTGTCAACATGGCTAGGTTCCTTCTTTTTAAGGTTTTTTTATAGACAACAAAAATAGTTTGAAACTTTTTATATATTCCTTAAAAGCCATGTAAGGAAAGAAAAGAAAACTGTTTTCAAGTTGAAAATTTGTTTTAAATACGTTCCAGAGTTGCCAACATCTCAAAAAAAATCGTTCACTCCCATTCACAGTGTTCCCTCAACAAGCCGCCAGCTCATAAATCAGACTTAGAATAGAATGGAAAACTCTAAATGCTACCCGTTTTCTAGCTTTTCTTCTTCCCTAATTTGGCTATTTATTGGCCATTTCCCCCCACCCAATTTTTCAACAACAGACAACACTATGGCCTGATGGCTAGGCCCAAATAGAGAAACTGCTCAGCATCAATTGCAATTTTAAATTGATGCCTGCATCGGCTGCAACGAAACTTTGCTAACGAATTAAGAGCAAAATATTATATGCCTGGCAAAATGTTGCATAAGAGGGGAGGAGGGGTGTGGTGCTACTGAAAGGGGGACGGCGGCGGTGGTGGAGTCTGGGTGTTGTTGCAGGAGGGGTGCACGCAATTATTTTGCATGCTCCATTTTAACAATTTGGAGAAAGAAATGTGAGCCAGTGAAATGCGAAAATGAATGAATGAATGGGCGACTGAATGCTAGCGCTGGCTGGTGCTGGCTGGCGCTCCAGCTCGCTTCCCACTGGAAAGTGGGGCATTAAAGCCTAGAATCCGACATTTTCATATGCATGCTTAAGTACGTTGAGTACCAAAAACAACAGCAACAACGACAACAGCTAGGCGAAATGCCACAAGGAGCCAAGAAAATATTGAGTTAACCCAGAGCTGTGCCGCCCTAAAAGTATGCAATGAAATGTTATTTTCCTCATTTACCAGCAAAAAAAAAGAAAACTTTCTCCTTCTGCCTCTTTCTTAGTCATCATCCCCCCGAAATCCGAAAAAACTCCTCCTCCGAAACCACGAAACTTCGCCGCGTTGCAGATGCTGCTATTTGAGATGGTTTCCTTGAGTCTGCGGGGTTTTAAATTAATTGCGGCCCAGGAACTTCCTGCCAAGCCAATGACCTCAAAAAAGAGATAATAATTCTGAGCGAAAGATGAATGGCTTACATTTCACTTTTTATGCCAAATTTGAAGGGGGGTTGAGATAGTTTTATAACTATCATACAAAGATGTTATGAAATGTTATTATGAAAGAGATTCACTTTTCCCTTTAATATTTTTCTCAATAAAATGCCTGCAAATCTATCACATATACACGAGTATTTCCCCTCGGAAAAACCATCAACCATAGTTGATTTCCCTTAATTTCCATTTCCAATGAAACCACAAAACAATTTGTTTAGCCAGCGACACATTTGCTCAACCACGGTTATGCTTCGCCTTTGACACTTAATGAATTACAAATTGATTTGGGACTTAACCTTTTGTTTTTTGCCTTCCTGCCACTTTCACAGTCTTTCTCCTATGGCAACCAACCGACCGACCGACCAACCGCCCACCCATCCGCTTCGTTATAACGCCGCTTCATTTGAATTCAGAATTGGGAGTTGGGAGAGTTGGTTTTTCATGCAGGACGACGACGACAACGCTATGGCATTTTCGCATTTCCTCTCACTGTGACACATCAATCGCTTTGCTGCCACAATTCATTGTTTCAGCCGCAATATATATATATTTATGCAGACGAGAACGAGAACGAGTGTAACAGATATGTACTGCACTGTACTGTAAGTACTATGTGTGTGTATTTGTTTGTTACATATTCATATGTATAGAGGGTAGTGGTATTGGGGGGTATTGGGGGTAGATAGAGAGGAGGATTTCATTTATCCAATGACAATGGAAAATACCTCTGCGAACCACAAGCTCTCTCTCTATGCCCTCTTTCTCGTCGTGCTGTTGTCAACCGCAAAACGTTTAATTACATGTCAAAATGCGAAATGCATTGAACAAGACAGGAACCATAACACTCAGCCGCCCCCTCTCCTTTACACCCAAAAATTTCCCATTTTCCATTTTCCACTTCCTCCCCAGCATCCAAGCACTTCCTGAGCCGCTGCGCGTCATCATCAGCGTTGTTGTTTTATAGATAAAGCCAGCGTTACAGCTCCCAAATTTCGTATTATGAGTGAACATGCAAAAACAACCTCATTACCAACAACACAGAACATAGACCAAAACATGAGGCACACACACTCCCCATCCTCTCCCCACCCACACACACCACCCTCCTTTCGAACGAAACGTCCCCTCTGGCAACAAGATCCATGTAAGTTCAGCAGGAGAGCAGTTTTTCAGAGGGGAAGGAAAATTCATGGGTTTTAAATGACGATTAAAAGCCAACAGATTATCAGCATTAAAGGGTCTCTTGATAAGAGAATATTTTAATTAGAAATAATTCTAAAATAAGAAAGAAATGTAGAAGAAAATAATATCAACAAAAAATATGATGAAAATGTTTACCAAGAAATACAAAACCCCTGCAATTTTGAGGGGAGAATGAGGTAGGGTAAGGGGTAACCAACCTCAAAATTTACAAAATATTGCCAACCTTTGACATTTCAAGGCTTAAATTACAGATTTGCCAACAAAAACAAGCTCAACGGGATTATATTTGAACCATTATTGGCTTAGTTATGATACAAATTCTGAGTATTTAAGACCAAAAATCAGGATTAGGGAAAATTGCAATATTTTTAGCAGCTTTTCAGTTTCAACTTTGCCAATGCAAGATCATGATACACAGCTCAAAGGCATTCTTCAGCATTTTATATATATTATTTTACATTCTTTTTTTTTTTCTTTTATAAAATCGGCAATTCAAATGAAATATAAAAAGTAGACAAATTGAAACTGCAAATTCAAATATGTAAAATGAACAACAAATGGAATCCCAAAAATTTGACTCTAAAATATCGAATAAAAACTTCTCAACTATCAGCGCGAGTACTGTATTTTGTATAATATCAGTTTGCCAATGGGAAAAAGAAAAGCAAATAATAATGATTTTTGTTTAACCAAAGGTCAAATACGTTTCGAACTGATTGCCAGTTTTTGTTTACCCCAAAAAAGCAGCATGTGTGGTATGCAAATGGTTTTTTAATGGGGTTTCGGATTTATCAGCAGCAAAGTGAAACTGTAAACTGGCGTAGTAATACAAGTTCAATA